TAATAATAATAATAATAATAATAATAATACGACTGCTGCTGATGGTCTTGCGACGAAGAGAAGGCGAGGCAAGTCCCATCCGCTTGTATTTTGCAAGCTGAGAATGTCCGCATAATTTTCAGACGACTGTCACCATTGCTGTTTGTCCCCTGAAGTTCGTGTTCATAAATTAACCGTTGAAATTCTATGGAGGACAGTAAATGAAGGGCAAATCTTAAGTTCCTCATTGTGTAATTGGTTTCTTTCAAGTCATTATTGCCCACAGTAGGTCAATCGGTATGGAGACTGCTGGGAGCTGGACGTCAATAGGGGCAGGGAGTCAAAATCGAAGTCACATAGCAACTGACAGTCAGTCAGTCAGTCTGTCTTGATGTCGAGCTCCGTCTGGGGCTCACGACCAGATACTTCTTGTTTGAAAATTTCTGTCCTGTCCATGTGGGGCCCCCTAACTGACGAATCTGTAATTTATCAGTCATAGCAGTATTAAGTAAATTGTCAGTTATGTACATTTATTTATATTTTAGCTATTATTAACTATTCGTATATACAATATATACAAGGCCTGGGCTTCTTGCTTGGCCACCGCATCTGAACGAGCTCTGGAGCCCATCCAGCATGCTATCCAATGAGCACCAAGGGCTCTTTCTTGGGGGGGGTAAATGGCCTTGAAACTAAACTATTCTCTCGCTGCTGTCTAGTGCAATGTTTAAAAATGCGTGCAGCTATATATCCACTAACCGAAAGTCTTAGCTCAAGCGGTTAGTCGCTGGCTTCCCACCGCGGCGGCCCGGGTTCGATCCCGGGGTCTGGTCAAGTGGGATTTGTGGTGGACAAAGTGGCGCTGGGGCAGGTTTTCTCCGAGTACTTCGGTTTCCCCTGCCAATCATCATTCCACCAATTGCTTCACAGTCACCCTCACCTATCATGTGGGGCTCGTACAATAGGCCAGACGTGGCCGCAGTACAAGGGACTTAGTCCCACCCCATTAGTAATAAAAAAAACCAAAGTCTTCGTGGCGTGAGCTTAGTTGAGCGACATTATACTTGATTAAGCACAGGGACAAATTACCTTTACCGAGTTCAGTTATTTGTGTGTTAAGATCTGTTTAGAGCAGATTGAAAACTTGGGTATGTGGCAGAGGTTCAAGTGAAGTTTGTATTGCAGTTTACTTTCTTATCTTGATTAATTTGTTCTAGAATTAGCCTTAGCCCAAGTCAGTAATTACCAACCTGTGAGGCAAGCCGAGTTTATAAATTACTGAAAAGCTGTATTTTCGCAGGTTCTTAGTAGTTTTCACCAATTTTTATAAGGATAATTTTCTTGAGCCATTACACATTTATAACATATGCATAAAGAGTAAGTGGGGCACGCGGTAGCGTAGTTGGTTGAGGGGGTATGCTACAAGCCGGAAGGTCGCGGGTTCAAGCCTCAGTGAGGTCATTGAATTTTTTTTTCAGTTGACCTAATCCTTCCAGCCGGACTATGGCACTGGGGTTGACTCAGCCTCTAACAGAAATGAGTACCAGGAATTAATTAAATAATTTTCCTGAGGAGTAAAGCGCGGCCGGCGCGTAAGGCTGACAACCTTACCGCCATCTGTGAGCCGACTGTCTAGATAATGTGGGACCCTCAACGTCTCACAACCCTATGGGCCTTCAGGGCTTGTTACAGGGGTAGCTTTACTTTTTTCTTAAAGAGTAAGTTCCATCAAATGCAACAAATTTTAATATAAATAAAAACTTTACATGTGACGAACACTTCGAAGGAAATATTTTACAAGTATGACTTGCATATGTTGCCTTAAAAGTGTTTAAAACATTTTATTAAACAAGTTGTTTTAAAAATCAAACACTACGGATTTGAATTAATTTAAAATCTTTCTGTATGGTTATATGGACTCGGGTGACCTTCGTATTGCTTTACCATTAGTATTTAAATGCCTTGAGAGTCACACGGTAGCGTAGTTGGCTCTGCTACAAGCCGGAAGGTCGCGGGTTCGATTCCCGCTGAAGCCAGTGGATTCTTCAATTGACCTAATCCTTCTAGCTGCACTATGGCCCTGGGGTCGACTCAGCCTCTAACATAAATGAGTAACAGGAATTTTCTGGGCTTAAATGGCGGGCGGCGGGTAAGGCTGACAACCTCACCACCATCTCTTAACCGACTGTCTAGAAAATGTGGGAGCCTTTACGTCTCCCTACTCTATAGGCCTCTGCGGCCTGTTGCAGGGATAGCTTTGCCACTACCTCTATGTAAATGCCTTGAGAGGTGGTGTTTTGGGTGTGTTCCGGGAGAGCCATGGTGCGTATGCGACGTGTTGTGATGAACACAGTTAAATGGTATACTTGGATTGATTTTTAATTACTGATTTGTCGTCTTATTTATTCCGTGTTATCTTAAATTCGCAGCGTGCTGTGGAAGGACATTTCATGTAGTTGTAGAATAATGTACGAATAAATCTGCTCACGAAGAGAAGGCGAAGGAAGTGGTAGATATAATTGAACTTGTCGACCTTGACAGTTCTACTGTCTAGTTAGGAACAAATTCAGCTTCATTGCATCAGCGGCAACATAAGTCGTCTGAAAATGCAGCTAATGTTTTTAGTAAACACAGTACACGTTAGTGGACATTTGCCTTCTCTACGTTAGAGGATAGTATCACTATCAGAAATCAACCGTCAGTACGATCTTGAATTTTAGTTCACATCTCTGTCTCCTGAACTGCTTCATAATCATAACCTTGTCTTGAAGTGATGACCTACACGTACCTTTAAGTTATTTTCAACATTTTTAACTTGATTCATTCTGGTCCGTCACACAAGTCAATACTACAGGATGATTTGATTACATGACGCCTTTACATGTTTCGGTCAATTAATGACATCTTCAGAAGGCAAATAACACTTGAGGAAACTACTATTACATAAATCATAGTACATCAAGAAGAATGCCGTCTTCTGGGATGTGGTATTAACCAACGTTTCGGAGCAATGTATCGCCTCCATCTTAAAGGTAAAAGGATAATCTTATTTTTCCTTCTAACCTGAAGATAGAGGCGATATGTTCCTCCGAAACGTTTGTTAACACCACATCTACACGGTGCCACATCCCAGAAGACTGCTTTCTTCAACTTTGAACTTGATGTACTATGATTATGTAATAGCAGTTTCCTCACTGTTGTTGTTTGCCTTCTGAAGATGGTCATTAATTGACCGAAACATGTAAAGGCAACATACATGTATATACGTGTATATTTGAGTCACATTGAACAGTATAATCAAACGATTCTATAGTGGTTTCAGCATTCCTTCGTGTTTGTTCCTTGCATCAGCTATTCTTGCAGCGTTCAGGGTTGCTCATTGTTACATTCCGTAACATCTTTCCAGCCATTTTTCTTTAATGTTTTCTTGTCTTGGTCTTTGTCAGACTGTTGAGGAAGGGAAGGAAAGCCGTGAGCGCCGTGAGTGACTCGGCGGCAGAGGCGGAGTGGGGCTGAGTGGTGCAGTTGAGTACCAGGCAGCCAACCAGCGTTAGTAGCCATTAGTATCTGCTCAAACGACGGTCAGCGAAGGTTGTGGGATATGGTGAAGCACGAGGAAAACCACGTTGTCGGGAATCCCAAACAAGAAGGGACCTCAGCTGTACCTCCAGATGGTGGCACCAGAGCATGGCTTGTAATGATCGCAAGTTTCCTTTGCAATGGAATTCTGTTCGGAGTCATTAATACCTACAGTGTTATCTATGTGGACTTGCAAAAAAAGTTGGAAGATAAAGGCGTCGCCGAAGCATCTTCGAAAGCATGTAAGTACAAGGACAAGTCTTTGTCACCGTAGTTCAGTGGTTATGAGTGTCTGAATTATTTTCAGGAAGTTACAACAGATCATTTTGTAGCGGTGTTTGCCAGCTGCAGAAGTTTCGTTGTTCGGGAAACTGAGGCACTAACTTTTGTGATCCAGTGGGAAGGGTTTAGCTGTAAGATCTATAAGTATGTTAATGTGAGAACTGTTTCGTTTAGTATCAGTATAGAAATCATTCTGTCTGAAGTGCAGTGTAACACTCGTGTTTGCTATAGTGTAGTCCTCATTGACGCGATTTCACAGCAAGCGAAAGGAGGAATTCCTCCTGCTGAAGTCAGTATAAATAGTATGTACTGTACTTGGCAATGCGGTGACCATCTGTCTTATGTTGCAGTGTTTATGCGTAGAAATAAGTCTTGAATTCTGTGAGGAGTTGCGAAATTGCCGTGATTTATGTTTAAGTCTGGCAATTTTAAACAATTTTCGAATGCAGGAAAGGCAAGGACGGATTTAAGGGGGAGCGATCAGGGTGGGCGCCCCAGGGGCTCCACAAAGCAGAAATAAAATCCGGAAATGTTATTGAGACATTGTTTCTCTAAAATCACGAAATGTTAATTTGTATTTTTAGTTATAAGAAATAAACAAAAATCAAACAAGAAATGTCATAACCCAAATTTGTTGTTACCAGTAGGAGTCTCCGCATTTGGTTACCTTGGTGCCTCCTGTAACTGTAAATCGGGTCCTACCTTGGGGAGAAGGATCCTAGTCTGTGTTGATGTAGCAACTGTAAATAAATAAAACAAATTCTGATTCTGTCATGGGGAAAGGTTGTTTTGAGTTACGTTAGGCCTGCTAAGTGTAAATGAAATCCAGTATCAGAGATTGAATATAGATGTGAATGTTCGTGATTTTGAGAAATTGGAGGTTATGATAAACACAGATACAATCCTAGAAACGAGAAAAGAGCAAGTACACCCTAGCGCTGACGCTTCTAGCTTGTGTACCTTTTTCAAATTACCGGCGCACTGACTATTCTGATTTAGGTTTTCCTGGTTGTACTCAGTACTTCCATGTGAATGCCAGTACAGTACCTTGAAATATACCACTACTGTGCCCTTCAATATCCTTTCCAATTCATCATTCGTTAACCAATCATCTTACCAATCAACACTGTGTCTTCAAAGTCGACGTTTCTTAACTACCGGACCGCCGGCCGGTACCGGGCCCTCGTCTAATAAATAATTTACCGGGCTGCAATCTCACGAAGGTTGAGAACCACTCGTCTAAGTTACTAACAGCATTACTACATGAAACAAACCGAAAAATTAAATGAAAGAGACATGTCAAGGGAGGTGTACCTGCGGCTTCTGTTTGGTATAGTAACTGCTAATGAAGTTTGACCTCGATACATCATGCGTGGATCCATTCCTATGGCAGCACGCTTACGTTGTGGAGACTGGTTGTAGAGGAGGCCGAGGCTCACCCAGGGCCCCCAGGGCTGTAGCCCCGAGTGGTAGGTAGGTAGGTAGTGAAGTTTGACCTCGGTACATCATGCGTGGATCCATTCCTATGGCAGCACGCGTTGGTTGTGGAGACTGGTTGTAGAGGAGGCCGAGGCTGTAGCCCCGAGTGGTAGGTAGGTAATGAAGTTTGAGGTTAGGGACGGTTGTATTTCGTCACCGTATTGCAAACTGGCCCCCTTAATCCGTGGCCCTGTTACAGAAATTCACATATTTACAATTTCTGATGTGAAATGTAAGCCCGCTGACTTCTGGTACGAAATGGACACTTTATTGACGGTATTTACCTGATATGTCCCCATATTTGGTAGGCTTACAAACAGATAGCTAACAGATACTCAGAATATGTGGCACAGTTCAAATATTTGGGAACGACAGTAACAAATAAGTTTGATTGAGGAGGAAATTAGGAGGAGATTGAATTCGTGTAAAGCTTGCTACCATTCAGTCCAGAACCTTTTGTCTCTTCGTCTGCGGTGTAGAAACGTAAAAATTAGAATATACAAAACTGAGTTTTCCAGTGGTTCTATATGGGCGTGAAACTTGGTCTCTGACATTAAGAGAGGAACATAGATTGAGGGTGTTTGAGAACAGGGTGTTGAGGAGAATATTTGGACTGAAGAGGCATGAAATGGTAGTACATTGGAAGAATACTTCGTAATGAGGAGCTTCACAACTTGTACTCTTCTCCAAGTATAATTAGAATGATCACGTGAAGGAGGAAGATATAGGCAGGGAATGTAGCACGAATGGTGTGAAGAGGAATGCATATAGGATATTGGTGGGTAAGCTAGAAGGAAAGAGACTACTAGGAAGACCAAGTCATGGGTGGGTGATATGGACTGGATTGACCTGGCTTAGAATAAGGACCAGTGGAGGGCTTTTGTGAAGACGACAATGAACCCGCCAGTTCCATAAAATGCTGGGAAGTTCTTGAGTAGCTGCACAACTGGCGGCTTCTGAAGAAGGGCTCAGCTCCATTGAGGTAGTTACAAACAGTTCGCGGTTTCAGAGTATCAGAATCACAGTGAAATGTTTATTAGCATCGCAATATTCAGTGAAAATGCTTAGACTGTATGAGATTTGAAGTTCTCAGCAGTGATTATGAACCTGTGGCACCGTGCACTCTACAGTCTACCAGACTGTTGCCCATTTTTTTCGGAGAAACTTGCTCCTTCCATCTGCTAAGTAAAAAAGTCAGCTGAGCGTGGAGAAGGTGGTAGAAGGGCTGTGAGCGAATGAGGAGGAGTGACAAGGATAGCGAAAGAATGTGGGACACCGCAAAGGGCCCGTTCTTTTCCAAGAGTAAAGGGACTAGGCGAACTGGTAAAAAAGTAAAGTAAGGCTCTCCCTGTAACAGACCATGGAGGCCCACAGGGTTGTGAGACGTTGAGGGTCCCACATTATCTAGACAATCGGCTTACGCGCCGGCCGCCCTTTACTCCCCAGGAAAATTATTTAATTAATTCCTGGTACTCATTTCTGTTGGGGCACGCGGTAGCGTAGTGGTTAAGGCACTGTGTTACAAGTCAGAAGGTCGCAGGTTCAAATACCGATGAGGTCATTGGATTTTTTTCAATTGACCTATGGGTCTCGGGGTTCACTCAGCCTCTAACAGAAATGAGTACTAGGAATTAATTAAATAATTTTCCTGGGGAGTAAAGGGCGGCTGGCGCGTAAGCCGATTCTCTAGATAATGTGGGAGTCTCAACGTCTCACAACTCTATGGGCCTTCATGGCCTGTTACAGGGAAAGCTTTACTTTACTTTAATCATTTCTGTTAGAGGCTGAGTCGACCCCAGGGCCATAATACGGCTGGAAAGATTAGGTCAATTGAAAAAAATCGGGACTTGAACCCGCTACCTTTCGGCTTGTAGCATAGTGCCTCAACCAACTACGCTAGTGGATAGGTTAAAGAGAAGTCAGGAGAGGCGGAGTATGGAAACAGTGACCATAAAGAATATGTTACAGTGACAGTGCCACTGCCTCTCGGCTTGTTCTTTTATCCTGAAGATGGAGGCAGCTGGTTCGTTTTAAAAGGCAATAAATATCTACCATACTACATTGTATCACATCCCAGCAAAATGTAAAGTTGTCCCAGTGCTTAACTAATTAAGCACTACACTATGAACTGCGTATGGAGGAGTGGATGTATAGATCCACGTTTTCTTGACATCGGCACTAGCTGGAGGTGAGTGGTCATCTTCACTCCCTGCCGCTTTACCATCGGTATCCATTGGATAGGAGGCACCCTACCAGGACTCGAAATCCGACCCCGTGGTCGTCCAGCCCGTAGGCAGTCGCTATACCGACTGAGCTACCCCGGCTCACTATCACATCCCAGAAGAAGGTAATCCTGTGCGTAGATATTCTAATACGATTTATTTGATATTCCCTGTGTACGGTTAATACAGAGTTTCAGCTTGCTTCCCTGTTTTTTGGCATTAAGTATGATTTTATTTCATTTCTATGAATAGTTTAGTTGGTACATCATTCTACAATTTTTGCTGCAAGCCTTGAGATATTTAGTGTTATTTTGTTGTGCGTACGCGGACATGAAGATGACGTAGGGAATACAACTCTGCACGCGTGACCAGGTGGACGTGGGCTGCGTTCTCAAGGTCTACCGCTGTCGAACTCGTGCCCCGTTTCTGCTGTGTTTCTTCCTGCCCGGACTAGCGTGACAACAGCCCGGCCCATGCGTACACGTCCTTGTACATTTCAGACCTGTAGATCATTCGCACAGTTTGTTTTAATAGTCACGATTTTAGTGACTAGACACGGGGTTTGGATTGAGTACTGGGATTTATTGAACTCTCACACAGCTCGTGACTACATATATACAATTTTACAAATCTGTAGTACGCACATTACCACGCCCAGTCATCCACGGATTCACTAGGCATTGTTTCGCAACGTGACGTCTTCCAGCAAGGGGGAGCCTCTGCTCCCACTCCCCCGCCACGGGGCGGGGGACTGGCGCAAAAGCTCCAGTCGGAGTCAGAGTTACTTTACCGTTGGCGACAAGCCCCTTGTGACTCACGACCAGCAAGTTTATTTAACTTAATACTTGCTCTCATATTCCTTATATAATGTCCTCTCTGACGAGAGGACTGGTCTATCGTTTACAAATGGTGCTGGCCTCGCTAGCGCAGTCATTCTCAGGTACGAGTCCCGCGGGACTCATGACCATATTTTACTGTCTCAGATTCGAGACTCGTCCAACTTGGAGGGCCAGGCTCCCGTATTTATATCCCCCTGGAACAGGTTTTCCCAGTTATACTCGTACCCCCAGGTACTGGGTTCCCTTTTCTTTGCTTCCTATGACTCGTAGGGCTACGGTGGGCGTATTCGACCACGCTTCCACACGGGGTACAAAACCTCCAGTTGGTTCTCCTTACACAAGTATAACCTATGCACGTACCCAATGGAGAACACCACCTCCAAAAGTTCTCTGTTCTTGCTTGTGTGTACGTTGCTGGAA